CTACTCTTCTTAATGCATTGTTCAAAGGTGCGATGAATATTCCCAGAAAGCTCTTATTGATTTTCGTTAACAAAATTTTCGGGGTCCTAATGAACGATCGGTTTGTTTTTTTTGAATAGGCTTTATTTTGTCTTCTTTGCTAGTTTGCAAGTGGGAAGTGCGTCCTACAGAATTGTGCAGTATATTACTCCCCTACTCAGTTTTCATCGAAATATAGTCAAATTTAAAACTCGAGTGCGGCCAAATTCTATGTATAGGCGAAATATGTACATAGCTGTATATACCAAAACCTGTCGTACTAAAATCAGCAGAAAGAAATAACTTTTAAGTTCATTCTTAATAGATTCAAATTTTTGTGTTCATGACGGCATCAATGTATCAAATGTAGACAGAAATTGAAAACCGTTTTAATCTGATCTTTTAGTTGTGTTCCCTGATTCTTCCTTACGTGTTGTGAAAATGTTTTTTTGAAAATTTCGCAAATACCTTACGAAGCGTATTTTAATTCTTGACCAAACAAATACAGCCGGGGAGCTTGTAATACAAATGAAGACTTTAGTAAGACTTTACAACATCCGATATTGTATTGTGAGTTTATGTGAAAGATTATATAAATTTGTTAGAAGCTAATCATTTTCATATTTTTAGTAATTTCACAAAATTAGACTGAAAAACTATTCCGCACGTGGCGACAAGTGGACTCCAGAAAATTGAACGAGACACTTCCTAATAACAATTAATCTCCGTAGTTTCAGATACGACGAATGACAATTTCTTCCGCCGCTACAATTGTTAGATGAATTCAATTGTAATGAAAAATGGTCGAATCGAACGAAATACTGAATATGAAAATTGATAAAACATGTAAACGATAGCGACATACCATCCCATGCCTATCAAATGAAGTAAAAGAGATGGAGAATACCAAAACTCCTATTATCCTAACACCAACACCAGCAAATGCTTTTGACATAGTTGTCATTGACACCATCGGCCCATTACCAAAGACGGAAAAAGGCAATGAATACGCGATAACACTAATCTGTGACTTTACACAAATATCTCGTAACAATCTCGGTCAAGGACAAAAGCGCTAAAAACGTGGCAAAGGTAATCTTCGAAAATTTCATACTAAACTACGGACCCATGAAAACACTCGTAACGGATCAAGGAACTGAATACACAAATCGAACGATCTATGTGAATTCCTCAAAAATAACAAACAAAATAACATCAACAGACCATCATCATCAGACACTTGGCACGGTGGAACGCAACCACCGAACATTAAATGAATACATCCATTCATATGTATCGCGTGAATTGAATGATTGGGATATTTGGATAAAATATTTCCAGTATTGTTTCCACACAACACCTTTCACAACACATAAATACTGTCCCTACGAACTAGTGTTTACAAGGCCACAACAAAACAACTAACAAATCACAACAAAAACATTGAGCCTTTATACTCTCTAGGCGATTACGCTAAAGAGACTAAATATAAATTAGATATAGCGTACGCGCCCGCTAGGATACTGTTAGATAAGAAAAAAGAGAAACAAAAAATAAATTACGACAAAAAAACTCGCTAGAAAAAGGTAATTTGGTATTACTAAAAAATAAAGTAGGGCATAAGTTACAAAATAAATATTTAGGGCCATATGAGGTCGTAGAAATTAAGGATAACAACAACATTAAAATTAAAGACAAGAAATACAAAAATCAATTAGTAGACAAAAATAGGTTAAAACTATCTAAAGAAGCTGCATAAATAATCAAAACAAAAAAGTGTAAGGCGCCTACACAAAAAAAAATTTGTATATATAAATATATATAAAAGTATTTATAAGAATCTAACACAAACAATAAACAAAAAATATATATATAGATCTATATTCATAACAAGACCACGGTAGAAGTAATAACATCGATAATTAATAAACCCAAGAAAAAGATTGTTCTTCCCAAGAGGAAAGGTGCAGCATTATCGATTTTTCATATTCTACCCGTTTATTAATCATTTATGCTAAGTTTACACTTTCATATATCTCCACGTAATGTAAGTAATGTAAGACAATCTACTTTAGCTATAAAACACATTAAATGTAACTTTAGCTTAATAACCTAGTTTAAAACTATTATTTTGCTTAAGCTAGCATAATCATTTATTACGATTACAGTTTAGTCAGAGTCAGAGTGAGAGAGTCAGAATTAAAGTAAAGTTAATAAACATCAGTTTATTATTGCATTTATTTTGTTTCACTACAATAAAAGCGGAAAACAATTAACTGCTGCCGCAGTGTATAAGATATGTGCTAATGGTTGATGAAGCAGTTAAAATTACAATTTAATTCGACTATCTAAAGCAAAAAGGAGCGCTTATTCTAAGCTGAATGATATCGTCGGTTGTTTCAGTATAAATTAGAGGGTGTAAAAGAAACTATTAGTTAGAAATAATTCAATTGTCTTATTGAACTGTTATTTACAAAAAAAAAAAAAATAGTGAGAATTATAAATATGTAAGTTAACAAATAATAAGTGCTAAATATGGAAAAAGGAGCGGCGGAGGAGTAGTGAAATACATTTTAAATTGGAAACTATTAATACTGTAACATTTAAGGAAGTTTCATATTGCTACGGTGTAGAAGTGAGAATTTGGAAAATAAAATTGAAAAGTGATTCAATTTTCGACAAACTCAGACAAATTAGCAAATTGATCCTGAAAAAATCAAATTGAAAAATTCAATTAATAAATTAATAGACAATGTCATGCAATATGATAATTTCTTCAAAATCCGCCATATTCCTAGTCATGTTTTGTATTCAATAAACGCATGCATTAATAAATTAATACAAAAATATCCAATATGGAAATGAACAATTGCTACTAACACGAATGTGCATTTGTGTGCGTTTATTTGTATCGTTACAAGCCGCCGTTATTGAAATCGTTTATTCGGGAAAAATTTTAGATCTACCACGTGCAACAATTTAATTAAGTTTTACGCTCACGCTTTATTGGATTACTTAGATAATTAATACAACTACAAAGAAAATAATTTCCTAAATATATATTGAAATTGTATTTTTGTATTTTTAGTATTTAATGTATAGAAAATAAATTTGAAAAAAAATTTAGATTAATATTTTAATTAAAATAAATGCGAAAATCTTAAAAATTTATATATATATATATATAATTTATTTTGCAGACCTTTTTATTTCAATGGACTCCCCCGTCAAGAATACTGAAGGAAAGAAAAGAAAAGAGTTAGAAGATGAAGAGAAAATAACGAAAAGAGTTAAAGAAGAACTTCCGTCTACGTCATCCCCTATAATAGACAATAAAGTTAAAGGAGGGAAAATAGAAGACGAAAATTTGCCTATCCCGGAAAAGGTTTGCGAATATTATGTGATTTTCATAAACGATGTTATAAACGAGACATCAAGCCAAACCACTAAGGGGATGGATCATCTATACGCCTTGCCAGTCAAGTTTTTTCATGCATTCCTGCTAATGCGTTAATCTTTTAGATAAATGAAATATATGCAACAACTTTTGTATCCACATTCGTTATGAAGTATTTGTTGGAGAAAATTTAGCGAACATTCATTTGTGTGCTGCAGTGTGCTTTTATATGGGGAGTGGTATTCAATACGATTCTCTTCCTAATAGTAATAAATTTTATCAAAACATATCGAAAACAGCATTCCACAGTTTACATACGAACATAACATTCAAAAATCGGTTATAAATCAATTAGCTTAAAAAAACTGGTGTCTCTATAAAACCTCTCTGCACGTTGTATACATCCGCATGTATTTCGTCGCAGTTGTTGCAAAATACAAACCTTTCCTGAAAATTTGATAAGAAAACCTTTTATTAAATTTTAAATGTCTCAGCTAATTATACTCATAGGCATAGCATGTATGTAGTTTGTGCGAAAGTATATCGGACAGAAGAGCCTTTCATTACACCGTTCGATTCAGAATGGTTTTCCAGTTCATTTTTTCAATTTATCTAAGCCTGGCCATCCGTCTATTCGTCTGATGTCTACCCTTGTGATATTGTGTCCTACGTACAGGTTGCAATTGTTGATATATTTTGATGAAATTTGGTTTGCTCTGATCCAAAGGCCGCCGCTTTTGCAAATTGTTAGGAGCGATCCACTTGTCCAACCACTCCTCATATATCGCTCTGTAATAGTACTTCAATATTTAATATTGGAAAAATTGTAGTAATGAAAATTTGGTTGGGCTGAGGCGATGTTGTGAACCTCCTCTTATATAATCGTTCCTACGAAAACTGAAATTTTGACCACGTAGATCCATTTTTGAATGCCATATATACCATATACCACATAACGATTGTAAGGAAACGTAAGCCCTTATGAGCCAAAACGACTCATAAGAGTTAATGGTTTTTCATGAAAGTTCGTTCGTGATAGTAATTTGACATAAAAATTAAGTGAACCAGTTTGAACCACGTGGGTGTATTTCTTGGACCTCCTTTCATATAAGATTTCGTATGCGTAGTGATTCCTCCAAAAAGAGACGGGTAGGGAACTTGGATCAGATAGCTCTATTTTTTTAACTTTAACAAAAATAAGGACATAAACATCACGGCCTTAGAGGGAGAAAAAGTATTAATTCAGGTTTTTTATGACAGAAACTGAAAGATAATAAGATTTTTGGAAGCAAATTAAGTTTTCAAAATTTGAATTACGTCTTGTAATATTTTTTTACACTATCTATATATAATTAGCAGGAGTCAGCGTTGAGCCAAAACACTTTAATGTAAGAGACTCACTAAAATATCTTACAAATTATGATCTCTAAGTTGAAATCAAAATTACATGGGGAGACAACCGCAGGACAAACCCACACAAGGACAGACAAGCAGGCAGGGCCTACAGAGTGCCTCATAAAAATTGTTAAAAGACTGGGCATAGCAAGCCAATGATTTATTAGAAATTCCAGTGCACCACCACTGTACTACATTAGAGGGAATTTAATACGTGTATTGAAGAATATTTCCTTTCCTATGTTTATATATTAAAAATGATCTCTTATTTTTATTGCAGCAGTATGCAGAGCTTCAGCACGAAGCTACAGACATTTCCAGAAATAAGTCGAGGAAATTTCCGAAAACAAAGAAATTTTTATCACGTATTTACAGAGCCAATCACTTTAAGGAGAGAGATATTGGCGAGAGCTTCGTCGAACAGTACGAAGTTCGTCACGCTCAAATTCGTGGTATATACTTAATGTATTTCATGAGAAAACATTTAGCAACCATGTATAACGCGAAACTTAAAGATTTCCGCGTGGAAGAGGTATTTAAGAAAAAGTATTCAGAAAATGAAAAGGAATTCCGTATACAAAAGCAAATGCCAGAGTCTTATAAGATATATATCGACAATAAATGCCAAACTATGCATAGTGTTGAAAAGATTAAAATCGTCTCACTTGCACACACCATGTATTACGCGGACAAAAGCGAAGGGCGGCCTTCTCCGTCCGTAGAGATTCGTGTTGCAGACGGAAACCTTGAAGCTATTTTAAAATATTTGGAAACATTCAAATCCAAATACAAGTCGGTTGACATTAATCCCAGACTGGATTGTGATTACTTTCGAGGCGATGCAAATGTTATATTCGATGATGAGGTGATCTTTCAAACTATGTCGTCCTTGAAAGAAAATAATATGCCTGTAGATAAGGCTCATCAGTGCATTTTATATTCGTTGGCTTATTTTAAGAAAACACGAAAGAAGATATTAAAATTCATAGTTTACAACCCCCTGGCTGGTAAAGAGTTTATTATGCAGTTAGAAGACATTGACTTGGAAGGCCTGGAAGACGCTCTGAAAAGTGATTTGATGATAGAAGAAGACGAAGGAAAAATCGAGAAGAAGAACGAGGACAAATAATAGAAGTAATTTATTTTTTTTATCTCCTTTTCAATCTTTTACTTCTTGGTTATGTTATAAGCATGCATTGACGTAACAATAAAGTTTATCGCAGCACAATTTGCTAAAAGTTCATGGTTTGTAAAGTTTGGGGTTCTCGAAGGAAAAAATTTTAAAATAAGCAAACGAACTAAAGAAAAGCACGCAAAGTTTCCTCGATACATGTTACCACGAAGTGCCGCTTACGACCATAGACATTGAAATCAAATCTTGCATCACTTTTTAAAATGTATCAACGATCTACACTCTTTTAAGCACATCAATCATTCCGCCATCACGATGACGGTGTACGCGTCAACCTTAGATATAAAATTGTTTAAAAGAGAGCCAACGTCGCGCAGTAGGGTGACCTATAAATTGATATTGCTACGCTAGAGTAGTATTCTATGCCACGCTTTGTTTTTTTACTTTTTCTTACTCTTCTCTACCCGTTGTTGCGAAGTACGTAGATTTTTATACCTTAGGTTCGTGCGGGCGTACGTAACACGTAGAATAGTTTGAGATAGATCGTTGTTTTGTTATATTGATCGATTTAGAAAATGATTCTGAGTCGATCTAAGTCTGTCTATCCGCCTGTCCTGATGCCTATTCATTTTTGTCTGGTAATTTTTGAGATATTTTGATGAAATTTCTCACACTGACCTTTTTTGACCTAATTTTGAAAAGTCGTTACATTAAAAAATTGTAATTTTTTAAATTTCCCGAGAAAGCTCGCTGATAATATATCTTCGTTTGAGGAATATATAAAATAGTTCTAAATATTCTCTCTTCTTTGCCTTGTGATAAATAAGCATAAAACCTCAAAAAAGTGAGAAAATATCATCCTTAACTTTTACTATTTATTTTGACTCCTGGATTCCACGAGCACTCGAAATTTAATTTCGTTCACAAAAAAGTTCGGTTTCGAATGCGATTTATTTGTTAATTAGGAATTACGGCACTTAAAAAGCATGTCGCGTCGCAAATACACACTTGTAGCTATTAATTACTTTTATATAATCACTTATCGATACACTTTCTTATGATACCCGGGGGCTACTCATTCTACTAATTCGTTTACTTAAAAAAATAAAACTTTGATAATACTAAAGTAAATTAATAAATGAACTTGGCAAAGATTACTCTTTCCAAATGCAAAATGGAATATCTCAACAACTACAACCATAGTTAATTGAATTACTCTCTAATAGGGATGAAAGTGTTGAGATAATTTTTAGCTGCCGTTTAAGAAGCTACTCAGGATTGCTCATGCAGCCATCTTTGAAGTTAACACTTTTTTGTTGGCGCAAGTTTGCTTTCGGGGAAAGACGACACGAACACTGTCCCTTTTAGAACAAACACGATGTTCAAGGCTATCAAAAGCGTGAGCGTAACAAGCAAAACAAAGCTGTATTTACACAATGTTCACATTTATATAAACATCATGTCTCTCATCACTACTGCTGCAACTTTGGTATGTAATATAACTACTTCCGATGACCTTAAAAGAAGTTATGAAACAAATTCTCAATTCTCGTCTTCAGTTATTTTACTACTAACAACGCGAACTTCGGCAACTGGTTTTCTGAAGTCATGAACGTTACGTACTGAATCTGCCGTTTAGGAATTAAATTACTTTTGTTGCTTAACAAAATGAAAAAGGATAAAATTATGATGACGCGAAATTCCAGCATAAATTTCCTAGAAGCTAACTTCAAAGAAGTCCAAAAAGTTACAACAACTTATGGAAGATTTTTTAAATATTAATTATTCAAATCGAAGACGCTTCCTTTACGCATTGGAATGAATGACTTAATAACTTAGGCTCGTTTGAAAGACTGCCGGTAGACAAAGTCAATGTCATATCAGCACTACTCTACGTTAACCTGAAGAGAAAATTTTTGCAGCAGAGACATGGCACGGGTCATTCACAGGGGACTTAAATACGGGGGAAATTCATTAATTTCTCGCTACAAATTGCTGCGACTCTACAAGTTCTACCAAGAGTAGAAAGTGCTTTAACGTAAAAAATATTAAAATGTTGAACTAGCAGTTATGCAACACATCACATGACAAACATATTGGTGTCGGTTGTAGGATTTCAACTCTAGGTGCCAAAGATAGCCAACCATCCTAAAGCAATGGAATTTTAAAGGCCAAGTGTTATATAAAAAATACATACATATATATATTTGCCCCAGCAGAAGAGAAGTATAATTTCAACATCTTCAAGACTTTCTTTCATCGCAATTATGCCCTATATGTGCCAATCACTACTTAAGCAAATCACTTAATTATTAAACCTTGGGAAACCGCCGGACATTTTTCGTTTATTTAGAAAGAGCTTTAGAGCCTGCCACGATATTATGACTTATAAATGTATGAGATGCACAGGACTAAGACCGTTAAAGATATTTGAGCGAAGAAAAGTAAGGCTGGGTCAATTTATTTAAACGGCAAGTTCTCAACTAACAGTTAACTCCGCAACACTTTCAATGGTCGGTTGCATTACAATTCTCAATGCATGTAAGGTATTCATTCATTCTTATCAATTATTTTTGATAAGATTGT